CCTTTGTGCTTGTTTGGGGGATTCAGGTCAAGAGCGACCATTTGTTGCACGAGTTTTTTCGTTTGTGAAAGCTAGTTTACGAGTGTTGAACATTAGGTATTCACTAGTAATCACCTATTATTGTATTTACATAAGTACTTTGTAGGGTTGGTTCTCGCCAAGCCGTCCCAAAATAAACTTATTTGGCTTTACGTTTTGTCTGTTGATGTTGTGTAGTGGAGTCAAAATTACATTTTTTATGGGATAATCGTGGACGGAAGGATGTAAATAGAGGGTTTGAAGGATGGATGGGTACTAGATTAATACCAATCTTTTTTAGGGTAGTTCAAAGACTATTGGACATCGCGTTAATGTCTTTAAGAGATCACTGGCATTTTCCAAAGTAAGTACATTATTCCCTGATATGCGTCTCAACCATGCATCAGTTCGAGCACTGCCAGTATTGTATAATTGTTAGTTTTTGTTTTGGGGCAGAGCTACACTTGTACATGCATGCATCTGCGTTTCGAGTGATCCCGTGATTCAGCGCTGGTCTTACAAATTCTACACATACAATTTTCTCTGGAGTTAGTTATGTCGTGAACTGTGGTAATGGTTAATATGAACTGATGCGGTTTCTCCGCCGAGAAGAGCTTCTGCATTTATCCACAACCTGACTTGGCAGGAATAGAATATTGGTCGTTTTGTGAACCATAATATTTCTATCCAAAGTAAAATTGTGCAAGAGCTGTTTGAAAACGTGTAACTGGTTTGTTGTGTACTAAGCCACCTTCTAAGACTTGAAAAAGGCTGTTCCGGATCTCCTTTTTTTTTTCATTTAACCCTTTAAACCTTAAGAGTGATCAGCATCAAATTTCTCCTTGTAATAGCGATGCTTTGTAAAACAGAGTTGTAATGAGAATTAAGGACATGATCACACAACATGTATTTGCTCGATATTTTGTCAACTTCTCCCCACTACTTCTACAGTAAATGAATAGGGGCGACAAAGGAGAATTTTAATTTAGATCTTAGGGTTTAAAGGGTTAAAGAATCAGTCGATCATTAATGGATGGTGTTTATCTCGGTCAATCATCTTATCTTATTATTCCCATCGTAGTACAGAAAAGGGGGTTATTAGTTACTCCTTATAAGTTATCCGAGGATGTATTTTACATGATGATGCAAATATTTAGAGAGAGCTCTGACGTTATCCCGATAATAGTCGTGACGACTGAGATGTTAGATTTGAAGAAGTAAGTAAATAAAAAATGAATAAATAAATGAAATTATTATAAAAAGAGCGAGTAACAATTTCTTATAATTTACCTCAATTTATAATATTAGTCATTACTGGACATTAACCCTTTTTGCGCTGAACCAGAAGTCTAAAAACTAACGGAAAGCGAGACAGGAATTCCAGGACTGAACCAACCTGAACAGTTGTGGCCATTTCCAATGTACCCTGGTTTGCAACTACAGTTGAAGGACCCTTCAGTGTTGGTGCAGGTGGCATTTTCACTACAATTGTGAGAGTTGTTCAGGCATTCGTCTTCGTCTGAGTGATAATTTTATTAAATGTTAAATTTATTGTGACTGAACAAACAGGTAGACAATATAGTGACCAGTCTGTCAGTAAAACAGATATTTTAGGACAGGGAAAGTGCTTTAACCGTAGTTCGGTTAAAACACATTCCCTTTCTCAAAATATCTGTTTACTGACTTGGCAGGAATATTGGTCTCATTATGAACCATAATATTTCTGTCCAGGGTAAAATTGGGCGAGAGGTTTTTGTAAAAGTGTAACTACTGTTTGTTGGGTGACTGAGAATGACGTCAGAATTTTTTCGCTCACTACGCCACCCTCCAAGACTTGAAAAAGCTGTTCCGGATCTCTCTTTTTCCAATTAAAGAAGTAGTACGATCATGCATTAATGGATACTGTTTATCTCAGGCAACCAGCTTGATATCTTACTCCTGTCGTAGTACAGAAAAGCGGGTTAAAGTTACTCCCGCTTGTTTTTCCGCGTTGTTTAAGAGTTAGCCGAGGGTGTATTTTACATGATGTCGCAAATATTTAGAGATGAGCTCTGACTTTACCCACAATACGTGACGAGTCAGAGGTGTTAGATTTGAATAAGTAAGTAAATAATAATGAAATAAGTAAATGTATATATTTTCAAAAGAGCGAGTGACAATTTTCTATAATTTGCTGCATTAAGGTGGCTCCGTAATTAATACAAGAGCATTTAGCTGTGACAAATTTTCCGTCATAACTTTTTGGTTTTTAAAGCGATGGCTGCGAAACTTTGCAAAGAACAACAGATATCATTAGGCAATAATTCGAAATATTCCGATTTCACTGATGGTAAATATTTCTCGAGAAATTAGCGCTTAAAAGGACCCTACTGTTCAAAGAAAATCGCGTCTAGTAAAAAATTTTGCTGATATTTTTTACTGAAATTTCTGGTATCGGCTTTAATTGATATAATAAATATGCCAGAGGAATTTCAGAAAAATCGTTGGAGCAGAAGTCCGAAACTAAAAGTCGCTCAAAATTCAGCCGTGAAATTGTTTTGGAATTTCAAAAATAAATTACCATCAGCGAGAAGGAGCCACCAGTTTGAATTTTCGGGACAAGTAAATTCAGTGTTTGCTAATTCTGAAAACAGAAGCCGATTGCCTATCGTGCTATTCTTTGAAAGGTACTTTTTCAGTTTTAGAAGCACTACAAATTGCTCCAAAACTTTGCTCTGACGTCGAATGACTTGTTGTCCTTGTTCCTCGACATTTTTAAAATATCCCTTGGCAGTTTTGGTTCAAACTCCTGCTGCACACATTTTGATGTATTTCAATGCATCCTCAACGGCTTTTCCTGCTGTACGTTGTTTCCAATTCAGGAAAAAGGTATTGGGGTTGTAAGCTACCTTGTATCAAAGCTCAGATAGAACTGTCCAGCACCTTTGTTTATGACCAGAAAATGAGCACGAGCGGCACTTCTGCGAGGAATTCGCACCTCAGCCAGGGGGGACGAATGACAATGATGCCCATGTCTGTGAACCGATCTGTATAAACATGTATTGCAGAGCAAAACATAATAATCAAGAAAAAAATACCCATTCATTGAGGGAAGGAGTGACAAAAATTCCAGAGTTGTAAATTTATTCACGGGCAGTATTTTTGCGATAATTTTATTTTGGACTGTGATGTTATTCGGTTCACAGGCATGGTCATCGATGTCGTTCGTCCCCCCTGTGTGAGGTGCGAATTCCACGCAGAACTGCCGCTCGTGCTCATTTTGTAGTCATAAACAAAGGTGCTGGACAGTTCTATCTGAGCTCTGGTACGAGGTAGCGTCCAATCTCAATACTTTTTTCCTGAGTTGGAAGCAACGAACAGCAGTAAAAGTCGTTGAAAATGCATTGCAATACATCAAAATGTATGCAGCAGGAGTTTGAACCGAAACTGCCATGGGATATTTTAAAAATGTCGAAGAACAAGTAATTCTACCTCAGAGCAAGGTTTGGAGCAATTTATAGTGCTTCTACAACTAAACAGTACCTTTTAAAGAATAGCACGATAGGCAATCGGCTTTTGTTTTAAGAATTAGAAAACGTTGAATTTACTTGTCACGAAAATTCAAACTGGTGGCTCCTTCTACCCGATAGTAATTTATTTTTGAAATTCCAAAACAATTTCACGGCTGAATTTTGAGCGACTTTTAGTTTCGGACTTCTGCTCCAACGATTTTTCTGAAATTCCTCTGGCATATTTATTATATCAATTAAAGCCGATACCAGAAATTTCAGTAAAAAATATCAGCAAAATTTTTTACTAGACGCGATTTTCTTTGAACAGTAGGGTCCTTTTAAGCGCTAATTTCTCAAGAAATATTTACCATCAATGAAATCGGAATATTTCGTGTTATTGCCGAATGATATCTGTTGTTCTTTGCAAAGTTTCGCAGCCATCGCGTTAAAAACCAAAAAGTTATGACGGAAAATTTGTCACAGCTAAATGCTCTTGTATTAATTACGGAGCCACCTTAATTATAGTAGTACATAGCTGAACATTTACTTTTTTCCCTAAATTAGTAGTATCAAAACTAACAGAAAGCGAGACAGGAATTCCAAGAACCAACCTGAACAGTTGTGGCCATTTCCAATGTACCCTGGTTTGCAACTACAGTTGAAGGATCCTTCGATGTTGGTGCAGGTGCCCTTTTCGCTACAATTGTGAGAGTTGTTCAGGCATTCGTCTTCGTCTGAGTGATAATTTTAGTAAATGTTAAATTTATTCTACCAGAACAAACAGTTAGTTAATATAGCCACCAGTATAATATAACAATATACTTTACGGTTAAAACACATTTCCTTTCTCGCAGTGGTTTCAGAACTTGACGTCAGTCACTTCTCAAACTAAGGCGAAATGTTGTAAATGGATTTTCAAAAAGCCAAAGAATTTTACCTGTACAATTGTATCCATCTCCTTCGTACCCTGGCTTACAGGAGCAAGTGAATGATCCTTGGGTATTATGGCACAGAGCTTTCTGGTGACAGTTTTTAAAATCTGTGTTACATACGTCTATGTCTGAAACAAAATTGCAATAAATTGGCACTAAAGAGGGGGAAATTAGCATAAACACTTCATTCTATATAATAGACATATATAGCATAATCAAGTCCTTTCAGCCAGCAAACATGCCCTCCCTATATATCTCTAAATGTGTTGTCTCTCCGTGGTTGAAAGAACGCGCATCCCTCTCACGCTTGTTCCACCTGTTAGAGAAAAAACAACAACAAAAAACAAACTTAGGTATTGGTTGGAAAAGTGGAACATTCGCAGAGTATCATTCCAGTATAATTGTAACTGTCTCATTCGAATCCTGGTTTGCAAAAATGGTTTTAAGATCCATCGGTATTGTTACTTAATGCGTTAACGTCACATCCGTGATTTCCTTGTGCACATGTCTAAAAATTAAATTTCGGCCAGTCATTGAATTGATTGCCTGCACTTTCAGATTACATTATATGGCTTAGTATTGAGTTCTTACCTTTTTGACAGCGCTTACCCCTAAAACCAGGAGGGCACAAACAGCGATATCTTTCTACTGTGAACCCGGATTGACAGGTTCCTCCATTTAAACAATTGAACTCTTCACAGGCATTCTTAAACGAGAAACAGAGAACATAGTAAATGAAGCAAACGAGTAGCTGGATGATTAGGGTGAGGTGATATAATCAGCAGAAATTTTGCTTTTCACCTTAAGAAGAAGAAGAAGAAGAAGAAGAAGAAGAGAATTCAACGAGAAATGGTGTTGACGATCATGATGTTGACGGTGATGATGATGATAAAGATGATAATGTTGATGATGATGATATTGGTGATGATGATGATGATGTGGAGGAGGAGGAGGAGGATTAAAAGAAGGGAGGGGAAGGAGAGCAGTTGACAAGAAATAACTTACATCTGCTCCATGATAGAGGTAACCATTTTCATCTTTGAACTCGTTATTATGCCATCGATGAGTAGCGTTGTTCAACTCACATGTTTTTGTGCTCACGTGATAGTTGACACTCACGCAGTTGTGTTCATAGTAACAATGCAGCTTGCAGTTCTCAAAATCAGCAACAATTTTAGTTCCTATAGTGTGGTTCACCAAACGCTTGCTAATGAAGGAGAAAGGTCCTGGGAACTCTAGTGTACGACCATTATCTGAACAAGAAAGAAACAATGGCTTCGTAATTTTATGGGTAAAAAATACTACTTGTGCGGGAGTTTTCCCCTGAGGTTCCCTTCGGGGTCTTTGTCTTAGAGCAGGGACCCACGTGTAACTGATGTTTATATTTTAGCAGTGGGAAGAGAGCCCCAACTTTGAAGAGGAACGTACTGTTTCCCCGTCGCTTAATTCCCTCTACTGCAAGTTAATTTCCGCTAACAACTTGTGCAGGAAATAAGAAATTTCAGTCATGCAAATTAAGAGATCAATTAATAATTAAGTGTTCTGGTTACAGTCAACTCTCGCCTTGCGGACACCCCACTATTACGGACACCCCGATAAAACGGACGGTAGCTAAATCCCGGGCAAAAACAAAATACAGATGTTTGACTGAAATAAACTCTCACTACAGTCAACTCCCTTTACAGCGGACACTACAGGGACCTCGAGTTAGTGTCCTCATTAGCGAGAGTCCGTAATAGTGAGAGTTTTTTGCCCGGGATTTATAATTAGCTACCGTCCGTTTTATCGGGGTGTCCGTAATAGTGGGGTGTCCGCAAGGCGAGAGTTGACTGTATTACGGACTCTCGCTAATGAGGACACTAACTCGAGGTCCCTGTAGTGTCCGCTGTAAAGGGCGTTGACTGTATAGGCAGTCAAAATGACAACAAATAAAAGAGAATTCTAGTTGCACTGTTGTTTTCAAACAATTCCTTCCCATGTTGTTAATATTGCCAATCCACCTTCTTATTGGCCAAAGAACTTAACGTTAGCAACGAAATTATTTGTGAATGACAAGATCACTGCTTCATTGCAAACAAATATGTCTTCCAAGCATTAATTATATCAAACGTTACAGATCGAACTTTGAAAAACTAAATAACCGGTACTATAGGACTGAATTATAGCGAACTAACTAAGCTCCGGTACAGGGATAAGCCGTAACCAAACTTCCCTCCAACTAAATGGTGCAGCCACAAAGAGAAAATTGTGCTAATTCGAATGGAGGCTGATGTAACAGTATATTTATGGACAATTTTAAGTCTTAATTATTTCATGCAATGCTCAACTTAACTGTTAAAATTCGTCGAAGGAGTTTTCATGACTATCGGTAAACTCTCAGTAAAGTAACCAGGGTCAGATTTTATGATTCCCACCAGGCAAGAGCCATTATGGATCTTGCACAAGGAGAATGAAATCACGCTTTTGGAAATAAATAAAAATGTATGGCAGAGAAAAAAAGAAGAGAAAAGAAGTAGAGAATGGTCCTGTTTTAGTCTTCATTTTTAGCTTGCCAAGAAACAAGGACTGAACTGTCATTCAAGGCCTTAACAACTGGGATCCTCTTTCTTCCCTTTGAGTTATGAGATTTTTATTTCTGGAACACAGAAATTATGGAACATGCTTCTGAGTGATATATGAAACAATCATTTTAATTTCACTTAATTGCGGATATTTTCTTCAAGCTTTGACGGGCCTATGCAGCCTTGTATTGTGGCCCTCTGAGTGGTAAGAGGATGTTCCAACAGTATTTGCGAAAAATGAATTTTCAGCAAAATCCAAATGCTGGTCAAAATGGCGACCATTTGAAAAGACTTTGCAGGCAAGTTTTAGCAGTGGCATGTCCCAGAATCAATGGGTCAAATGTTTATGCCAAGTTGTAGAGATCGTCACCGTTTGTCCAATAAACTTTAAAATTTGCAGAATACAACGACACTACAAAAAGTCGAGGGGGTCCTATGGCCGCTCTCACCCCCTTCTCCCAAGCAAAAATGTGTTTCATCAGCAAGCGAATCTGGTGTAAAGAGGCCTTAAAAAACATATATAATTTACTTGCTAACTACTCGATGCAACAAATATTAATAAACTAGTTATAACTATCGCTAAGTGCCAACGAGCAAAGATTTTACGTATAAACGCGCACGCTGTTCAATTTGTTTAGAAAGGTCACGAATTACCGTAATTTACGAAAAATAGCTTGAACTCAATTCGATTGCATAAGGGAAATTACCTTGAAAATAGTGAAAAAACTGTTCTACTGCATAAAGATTCTGAAATCCCAACGTTACATGGCATATTTTTCGAGATATAGAATTTCGTGTTTTTGTCCAAAGGTGCACACAGGTCATTTTGCGCAAAATTTAGTCAGCGAACTATCTTTGAATCCTCGAAAAATCATAAATTCGCAAATATTCACCGTAAAGATTTATATTAGTTTTGGTCTCTTTTTATAGCTTAGGAAGTCTACTTTTCAGAAAATAAGAAGATTTATGGTGCACCGATGAAGTCTTCCTAATTAGTTGTCTTCAAGGACATTGACAGTAATTTTTCTGGGGTTATATTTTTTTCCTAGCGTTGTAAACAGCCATTGTCTTTGCGAAAAATAGTTTGAACTGAATTAATTCGATTGCATAAGCGAAAATTACCTAGAAAATAGTGATCAGAACTAAACTTCATAAACAGTCTGAAGTCCAGACTTTATATAGCGTAAAATTTAGTGGTCTTAAATGCGAACTTAATTAGAATCTTCTAAAAACCATTGGCAGAGAAGCCTTCCGAACTATTTTACGGCGTTATTACTTTTTCTCAGCGGTATAGACAGATGGTGTAATTGGGTAAAATATTTTAAACTTAATTCGATTCCATGAATTTTGCATGACTATTCCTGTGATGAGATTGAGTTAGTCAAAATGAGTCAAAAAGAGAAAAATTAAAAATAAAAACATTCACTTTTGAACATAAAAACAACTGTTTACAAATAATAATAAAAAAAGGAATATCAAAAGTCGCTCTTTGTTAGCCTTAAATGCTCACCCCCTCAATCTCATGTTAAGCGTTTCAAAGCTGCAGCATGACTCGAAGTATCGTTAAGTTGTTTTCCTTTCTGGTTTTTATGTATAAGTACTTAATTTTTGCTTTTGCTAAAAAGTTTGGAGTAGTGGAACACAAAGCGTCCGAAACTCATTCCACTACTTCAAGAAGGTTTAATTAAATATATTTGAATTGTTAATTCCACTTTTGGATGTTTAATTGAGTTGCCTTCAAGGTTAGGTAACTTGACTAAAGAAGGTTTGCAAACCAAATTTGAAGATGATGTAAAATGCTTACCATCGATGCAACCAAAGGCGACTGGGAATAAAAGCAGAGACAGACCAAAGGCACAAATTTGGAGACAAACGTCCATGCTCGGCATTATCCCTACCATCTTACCTCATTGGTTTAGAAACTAAAAACGTGCGCCAAAAACGGGAAAATATTGAAAGCTGGATGACTCTATTAACTTTCTCTCGGCTTCGAATAATGAAATTATGTCATGACGGCTTTCAGTATTCAACCAATAAGAACATACGTCAGCAAACAATATTTCCCCATCTACGGGTAGCTGTGCAAAATTTCAATATCCCCGTGTTAAAGGGCTAATTTCTTGTTATTGTTTTGGTACTAATTTTTATTAAACACGTTTTAAGAAGAAATAACCAAATTCTTAACTGAATTCGATTTGAAGAAAGTGACATCATTTCGTAACATTTCCACGAAAGTGACGAGAAACTGATGTAGATTCCTTAGTCCTGCGGGGCTCGCTCAGCAGTACATTCTTGCACCCATTCCCAGTAATTCTGCCTTAAGGAAAAGTAGATAGTAGTTTTTCTCTCTTTTAAATTTATAAGAATTTATATATCCTCTGTATTTGGAAATGTAAGAGCACCAAAAAGAGATAAATATAAAATTTGATACAAAACTGTCTGACGCAAATGAAGCACCCTCAGTATGTTAACTTTAAGTGTTTAGCAATTTTAGCAGCCGGCAGCATTAGGGGTTTGTTTAACTTGTCTGTTTACCTTACTCGACTTCGCTGTTTGTTTTCACTTAGGACATGGAGCTACTTAAAACTGTAGGTAATAAAAACGGTCAGTTTTGAAGTTAAATGAAAGTATGCTGTTTAGAAGCAGAAGCATATGCTTCTGTTAGAAGTTAATGATCCAGGGGAGAGCCACACATAATTGTTGGAAATATGATTCTCACAAAACAGATACGTTTAGATCTAACAACTACGACCTTTTTTGTACAGATTAATGATTACGGAAAGTGGGAAGCAAGTTTACAAATCAGTATTAAGCCACAGCAAATAGTTTTAACTTTTGTTTCGCGAAACGGTAAATTTAATGAAGGAGTAAATAAATTCTGCACTATACGTTTCTGTTTGCCTAGTGTTTACCATGTGGTTGGCTTATTTTGGGTAAACTGAGTCAATTCAATTAAACCTTTCCAGCAAAAAGCCTGATTCTCAATACTATATTGATTCTCAATATATGAGCATTTGACATTTATCCACCTGCTGTTAACGTACTCCCTTCTTGCTATATAACAATATAAGACTAGTATAACTGGCCATTTTATATTTATTATTATAATTGTTGTTGTTGTTATTGTTATATTTTTGTTTTTTCTAAGGACTGGGATGACTTGGAAAATAGTTTTAACTAGAAGGCGGATGATTAATTTGAAAATCAAAATATCGTACTATAGGAAAAGTGAACTAACTAAGCTCAAGTACAGGGATAAGGGGTAACCAAACATCCCTCTACCTAAGCTTACCTAAATGGTGCAGACTTAAAACTTAATTATATCTTGCGGTTTTGGAGCAACAAAGAGAAAGTTGAGCTGATTCGAATGGAGGCTTATAACAAAATGGAGCATGTAAAAATATATTTATGGACAATTTCAGCGAGTAATTAAGAAATTGAATTAAAAATCCATCCGCCAATTGACGTATGTAAATCGTGTTTATCTTCTTATTTAATGCAATGCTTAACTTAACCGTTAAAATACGTCGAAGGATTTTCCATGTCTATCGGTAAACTCTCAGTTATATATTAGAAAGTAACCTGATTTTATGATGCCGAAAAAGAGAATGAAATCACGCTTTTGGTAAAAAATGTATGTCAAAAAAGAATTAAGGGAAAAAAAAAGAGAATGACCCCGTATTATTCTTCAGAGTTAGCTTGCCAGAAGCAAAAACTGGACTGTCTTATAAGTCCTTTACAACTGGGTTCCTCTTTCTTCCCTTTGTTTTATGACATTTTTGTTTCTGGAACCCAAACTCAGGGTTACAAGCTCGTCGTGAAACATGTTTCTCATTGGTATATCAAACATATTAATTCCACTTGCGGATATTTTTTTCAAGCTTCGACGGGCCTATGCAGCCTTGTATTGTGGCCCTATAGTTAGTCAATCATTCTTGATAAAAATTGACGCATGAAAAATTGCGTGAAAGTACTAATTCAGGGGCGGATCCAGGATTTTTTTAGGAGGGGGTGCACTCGTCTCTTGCTGTACTTCAACACCAGTAAACCACATAGTTTTTTTTGCAGAATACAAGTTGTATTAGAAAACCGCAGGTCATCTCGGGGGGTGGGGTGCGCACCCCCTGCACCCTCCCCCTAGATCCGCCCCTGAAATTTATGTGTAGAAATTTTGAACAGTAAGAACTTTGTCACGTGCTACAAATCTCGCCAGTATCCTGTCTGAATGACTCAGAGACCCCAAAAAAGGAGACTTAGGGAGTTAAAATCCAACAAATTTCCGGGGGAGGGAGGTTCCCGGACATCCTAGAAGCTTGCGCTTTCAGCGCTCGTTTAGGAAATAGGTCAGTACTTATCTTACATCCGCGCCTGATAAAGGTCGACCTGTGTAGGAGGTTTTTCTAAGAGATCCTTCTAAATGGATCTTGTAGAAATAGAAAAAAATAGCGATTGATTTCACATTCAACTGGTAATCTTACTGTCACTTCAAGATATAATATGAAAGGGGTACAATTAATTTTAAGAACAACTTAGTAGAAAGTGATTCGGGGGTCTCCATGACCATTAAAATGTAATGTGTAGGCTACATGTTGATGTATTAACAATAAGCCACAATGCAGCTATAACTTATACGTAATTTTCGTATACATATTGTGTCATTATGCACATTAAGATCGCTTGCATGTCTTCTCAAAGTAGAGGTTTTTGTATTTACTTCTTTGTATTGTAAAGAATGAAATATAGTAGTTTATAATGAATATTTTCAACTGATATTGTGATTTTGTTCAATAAATCAAGGAAACGTCCAAGTAATTCTCCTGTCATCATACAGATCTGCTGTCATGAACGATTAACCAATTTCATTAAATATTTTGTTTTTTGAAATATGTTTTGTAAAATATTTGTATTTGCTATAGAATGCTGAATTCTACGCAAAATTTAAGTGGTCTCTAGGTGGAGGATATTGACCGGGGGAACTGAATAACATATCACACGGGAGAGGGGGGAGGCTCCGTCCCGAGGTGCAGCCCCTAGCCGTTTTATACACCAGTTTTGACAGAAAAAGTATCCCTCTCGAATAACATTTTGTTAATATAACAAATGATACCTCCTTCACGTACAGGAAGTTGTCTTGTCTTTTTCACAGCTATAAAATACACCTTTTAGGTCCTTCCGCAGACCGCAGTGATAGATCTCCCTACCTTATTTTATAAATCAACCAGTGAAACCCCTACCCTTTCATATACAGGAATCCTGAAAAAAGTACCCGTTTGGGCATTAAAGAAAAAAAAAGTCCACTTTTAATCTAGGGTGTCTACTGAAATATTGATCCTAGGAATTTGCACTTTCCAATATTTTGTGAAGGACAAAGTAATCTGAGAGATTTATAATCAGCTCACGGTCCTTGCTTTCCTTGCATTTTTTTTTTCACTTTGCCTTTTCTTACACAGCTACTATTGTTTTATCAACCATGGAGTTTTAGGAGTTTAATAGACATAGAGTCAGCTAGTCGTTGCTCTTTTCAGTTTCTAAGTCCTGGTTATGGGCTAAGCATTGATTGCTAAGTGTAATAAAATAGTCCCAAGTATCAATCAATAGGCAGAAAGTTGTTGGGTCTTGGATTGGGTGAGCAGATTAAATTGATTCCTTGGTTGTGACGGCGATTTTGCAAACCAGTTGGCGCGAATGTAGAAAATCTTGTCCCAGATACCAGTCAGCAAAACCTACAAACCTGAAAATAAAAGTACTTTTGAGCTTTTAATGACGTTTAGTTCTTATTATTGACCTTATTCGAATCTTATACTTCGATTACGATCATCTACAGAACGAAGCTACTATTTTCGAGGAGACAATGTTTTAAAATGGCTCTAAAAATAAACTGATCAGTGAAAACGCTGTGATATTGGTCTACCGGTATCGAAGTTGCTCGCTCCTGTTTTTACGTTAGTCGCGGGAAGGGGACTCTTTTTCCGCCCTGCTCTCTATCTTCAAGACTTTCGTGTCATTTCTTAGAGGAATTTTGCCAATCATTTTAGCTTGCATTGTTTCCTTCGCGGTTTTTTTTTGTTTTTTCTTCCCACCCAGCATAACTTTTCCAGTGCTGTAAAGACTCGAAAACGAGTGTTGGGCTTCCTGTGGTTTAAAGGGGAATGGGTCTGGGTCGACACCTGAGAGGGCCGAAAGGGACTGGTGAGCACAGTGTTTAAAAATGGCGGACGATTTAGGGTGATGAAATTCGAACCTCTATGTTGTTCGCCTCCAATTTCTTCCTATATGGCATCCCAGAGGCTTAAAACGTTTAAGAACAATTATTCAATGTCATGAGTGAACGTCTGGCTATTCCTGAGTGCCCCTAGCATCAAACAGCCCCTCTGTAACTCGTTCTATTCGCTACGAACATCTTCAGGAGGAGTTACATCGACTCTCGTACTGCATCCACTCGACCTGATAAAAATTAGGTTTCAAGGTAAGATACTAGGAATAACTTGGTTTTGTGTAACGTGCAAATGCTTACAGTCAAACCAGGTCAAGCGTTCCCGTCGCTAACAAACTAATGAATTCATTAATGGAAAAATGATTTCGTTTGTTGATTCAATAATCCATTCATAAAATGAATAATCCAACAGTCAAATTGGACCTCGATTCAATAATCAAATGTTGATTTGGTTTATGAAAAAAATCTACCTGTTCTTTATTCTTGTCTGTTGTGTTCAATCGTATTTGCTTCCTTTTTCCTGCCGTTTACGATTGCGTTTTTCATTGCCTTTTAATAATCAAAATAACAGCTAGAATAGACAGACCGCAAACGCAAAGAAACTATGAGAAACTGACAAAGGCCGAGGATCGAAATCCACCAATCACCGCACATACACTGACCTTAGTTTGACCGTTGTGTTTTCTAAGAGGTCAGGCCTAGGTCTGTTGCACTGATTACTGGCAGCAAACTGGCGTACATGTAACAGTTTGTTTGGGTTTGAACTTCAGAACTCGCCAGCACTCGACTCTCAGAAAAAAAAGAGGAAAAAAACAAAATTCTGAGGTCAACTTGTGGAAAGTGTAGTTTTTCAAAAAACAGTAATCGAATCAACATTCGATTATGGAATCGAGGCTAAATATGAATATTGGATTGTTCATTTTATGAATGGATTATTGAATCAACAAACGAAATCATTTTTCCGTGAATGAATTCATTAGTTCGTTAGCGACAGGAACGCTTGACCTGGTTTGACTGTAAGCAATAGAAAACGTTTTCCGTGTTTGCATAACCTGATATTAACACGAGAGGGGTTGGGAGAATTCGAGACAGTTATGCAAACCTTGAATTCTCCCAATCCCTCGAGTGTTTATATCAGGCTATGCAAACACAGGAAAAAAGTTTTCTATTTCTTTTATAAAATAACTTTCCCGAGAAAAAAACGCAAACTCTTTGTTACGGTTCTGATTAAAAGAGAAATTCTTACCAGTGGCAAAGTCTTATACACAAAGTCTTGCACGCGTAATCAGTTCTTGTTTTGCAAAAAGATGCTTTCCAATATACGGATTTTTCTCGCTTAAAATGTCAGCTTAAGCGACAAAGAAATTGACACACCTTCTTTGTAATGATTTTCCAAGTTTTAGCCGACGAAGGAATGGGTAAATAAAGTAAACTTGTCGGGTTTTGAACTTGAAAACTTTTTCAAATTAATTTGTGCTTGCGTGATTAGTGCGCGAAAAGCAAAACATCTTGATGCCACAACCATGTTTACATACTCTCATGCAAACACTCCTTAGCCAATCAGAGCGCACGTACTATCTTAGTTATTTTATAAATTGCAATGTTAAATGTAATGCTATATGCAACTAGCCGTGTGGCGTGAATGTCAAAACTATAGCATGAAATAAATCAGAAAGCGAAAAAGGCTAATAAGGTTCGGACACTTCTTCATGTATATTTAAAACGTACACGTATTTATTTGTCCAAAAAGGTCAACTTCAGTTGGATTTTGCCTTTCCTCGTGATTAAAAAGATAAGCTGGACTCTTCTCTCAGACGAAAAATCAAGTCCTAACGATGGCCATTTTTAGAGGTTCCTCAATAAGATTCCTAATCCTGCCATTGCAGTAATTATCTTCATTAATCCCATTTTCCTGACAATTGTTATTGACTAATCCCCGTCCTGAAATTACGTTCAAAAACGTTCCTTATAGGAGTTCCAGACTTCCTCATCTTAGGAGAATCAGTCAATCATACATGTAAATGTAGTGGGATAACAAGGTGGTACACTTCATGATCAAAATAGGTGTGCAATAGGGACAAGAAAAATGTGGTTAATGATGAGCGTAATGTACATGTCATAAGCTTGCTCCAGGGGTAGGACCCTGGGCAAACCAGGGGAAAAATGGTGGGTTTAGTACAGGATGGGTTGGATTGTCTGCCCTAAGTGAGGGGGAAAGTCAAGACGTTATTTTTAGGTTTGAATGAAGGGGTGGAGGAAATTTACATTTTGTTAAATTTGGAAGGCAACCAGGTGAACATCATGAGAATTTAACACCTTCCCCAACCCATAATTTGGCAAATGATAATACAGGTCATATAAGTAGACCCTGGCCTGCGTGAATCTGTCTGAAGGTTTTCTTTTATGATTTTTTAAATGAAAAACATTACCTTGCTTCCCCGAGCATAAAATAAATGAGTCAAATTTGATCGCCAACTATTATAGCTTGCGTAGCTGGAGGGACCAAAGTTTAAAAGTGTTCCTTGATGTCCCTGCATGTGGCTTTTCCCCATTCTTCTTATAGTTTTATAGGCTAATAACCACAGGTTCTTTTATAACTGTCATAAGTACTAGTTAAATCCCACCAGTTACACAGGCATAATAATGTCCTCTCTCAATTAAAAGAAACCCATTTATGAGGTGGTTATCATGGGGTTTTTCATTGAGGAGCACTTGAGCCTTGGAGGCAATTTTATTCTTAAATTTGTTCCACCCATTTTTCAATCCGCCTCATTGACACGGGGTCCTATCCTACTTGCAGGCTGATGACATGACTCTGTATAATGATGAGTTAGAAAATAGAAAATTGATAGGCTACTGTAGAAAAGAGAAGAGGAAAACAGACCTTGTATTTCTGCAGATCATTTTTATTAGAATTATGTTTAATATTCCTTCAAGAGTTAAGAAGAACTCGTCCCAATGTACGGATCTTTTTACATGTTGCTCATATGGTAAAGCATTGCAGCACTATACATGTAAATAGAGTGGTTATGGGTTCGAATTCCATTGAAGCCTTGAAATTTTTGGGCTTAATTAGCAATTGTTATTTGCATTTAACCCATTCGCCCCTGAACCGCCCGTAACCGCCCGTGCGGATCCAGGTCCTTTCTACCCTTTGTGACGTCATCAGTTTTAACGGTCAAGGACAACTTTCTTCGCTAACTTGTGCAGAGTGAAGAGATCTTTCAAACCATACCAGAATGAGCACAATTCAGTCAAGGACACCGGAGAAAGAAGCAAAAAACCACGTGACAAGGACCTGAAAATCCTCATGAAAATCTTGTTCCATTACCCACCTACCTTTCCTTTCACCTAATCCTAAGATCCTAAAAGCTTTCCTAAAAACTCTTCCCTCCAAAATGAAGCCTACTAAATGCCCAGCAAGAGAAAAAAAAAATGAGGCAAGAAAAGCGAAAAAAGAAGGGAGGAGAGAAAGCGAAAAGTAAAAGTCAAGACTGCTGTGTCACTTTTAAACCCAAAAACTGTCGAAATTTTGCTTTCTGCGCATGCCCAAACTTCGCAAGCAGATATTCTGCATCTGGATCAGAAGGCCGCCAAGTGTACGACCTGTAAACCGGTTTGTGGTAAGTTTTAGCTCTTTATAGCACGACAGTGACCAGAAAACCACTCGACTAGCTTCAAAACGCGTTTTTCGGCAAAATCTCCAGGAGCGAATGGGTTAAGAAAAAGACCTTATAAAAGCATGCCTTACATAATTTTGTTAATGCATCTAGTTTCACACAATAGCTTTATTTATTATATGAATGTTTTTGTTATTAGTTACAGTGTAATGATGGCAGTGGGAAGTTGCCAGTGTACAGAGGTCTAGTTGATGCAGTGCAGTCCATTGTCGGAACAGGGGGTTTAAAGGGGTTGTACCAGGTTAGTACATTCACAACATACTTAACCCTTAGTTTAGTGATTTGTTTGGTCGTTTTTGTGCCTCATGGAGCAATGCAGATTATTTATTTATCTTTCAGTGTAAAGGACTAAGTTAGTAAGCTTAGCAGTGTCTTCAGGGAGGACAGATCTACCTCATTTTGGGAACAATCCCTCCATAGAACTTTACGCACAAAACTTCACATGCTTTGGGTACTAGAAATCCACGTCTTATTACACCATTCACCTACTACTTTTTCCTGATAAGATTTCTCCTCTTCCTGGAAAGTAAGCCAGCTAATATTTATACTTATTGTCACGGCGTTTTCTCTTTTTTTTTCTCCTAGTAGCTTAAAGCCTGTCTCAGTGAAAAAATAAATAAATAAATAAATAAATAAAAAATAGCAAGAAATAAAAAAAAGGACAAAAAAATTAAAGGAATGAGTACAAGTTCCTTTTTTTTTTACTTCAGGGTGTGACACGGAAAGTATGGGGTTATAAGTCTGCAAGGGGACTGTACTTTTTCAGGTAAGTGATTACAACAGCGAACAAAACAATATTTTGTATAGAATTCATATTTTAAACCTTCATTGGAATTCATGTATTTAAATACACATTGCTGGGAGTAGCTGTAGAACAGCTATGAAGGTTCTTTTCTTTCTATTTTCTTCTCTCCTATCTGTTTGAGTTCCTACTACTGCTATTTTCTTCTCTCCTAGGAAATTAGAACATTAATATTTTGTACATTTTGTATACAGTCAAACCTCTCCACAATGGCCCACCTTGGGGACAGAAGAAAGTGGCCTTGTTGGAAGGTGACCGTTATGAGGAGGCCTGTAGGAATTGTAATATGACAATTTTTTTTTTTTTTTGAGGGAGCACAACATGTTTACAGTGTTATGTTCGTGCTCACTGTCCCATAATGATAATCCAGTCATATATAACATATAGCGATAGAAATATACACCAAAAAATTGAAAAAATTTGTGAATGAAAATGTTAACGAGACAAAACTGCAAGGTTCGCAACATTTGCTTAAGTACGTTTGTATCATAGCTATGAACATGCTTACGGCAGCAGTATAAATGGGGCATGTTTAAAACTCGAAATGGAAAAATGACTAAAAGTATTTACAAAGAATACAGATTTTTCTTTGATCGGTTTTCCTCCCTACTATTCGGTCGGTGGAGTTACCACGCGCATTCTTGACCCGAGCTCTACACCATTGCGCAGCCATAAGATTTGAAGGCTTGTTGTCACGCTCCGTGTGCCCACGCAAGCTCATCATACGCGCCGAAAATAGCTCTTCTGTGGGGAAATTAACTGTAGTGTCATCAGAGACGCCGAGGTGGTGGAGCGTATTACAAAGAAAAGCTACCGTCAACTTTAACGCACTTGAGGATGAAGAAGTACAAGTCCAGAGTCAAAAATTGCTAATAGTTCTACAAATAAACAGGGTATATAATTTCGTGTGTCGACTGTGAGTCTATCCTAAATATAAACAGGGTATTGCCTGATCTAATTTGCTTGATGAAATTTATTTGCAAACAAAAGCAATAACTGTAACGTGAAATTTGCTCTATTGCAATTGCCAATAAAAGGCTTTAAAACAAGACGGCGTGCATTTTGTCCTCAACCTCGTTCCCAGGGTTATCTCCTACCCGTCCCTGCCGAGCGAGAGAGAGAGAGAGAGAGAGAGAGAGAGAGAGAGAGAGAGAGAGAGAGAGAGAGAGAGAGAGAGAGAGAGAGAGAGAGAGAGAGAGAGAGAGAGAGAGAGAGAGAGAGAGAGAGCCAGAAGAAAGGGAACTTTCGTGACGAAAATGGGGAACTTTGGTGACGGAAACAGGGAACTTTTCTGACTAAGGGAACTTTTGTGACGCCCATAGGGAACTTTAAGGACGTTCATAGGGAACTTTTGTGACGAGACTGGGGAACATTTGTGACATTAGGGAACTTTTGTGACGACATTGGGGAACTTTAGCGACTTGAATAGGGAATTTTCGTGACTTTAACTGGGGAACGTCGATGATGTTATCATTGTACTATGTATTTATATCTCGTACATCTTTCTTTTTAGCTCTGTTGCTTTTGTAAAGTACTTAAAACATATCAGGATAGGCGCAAGACGAATATATATTATTATTATGTTCATTTCTGGAAGTTAATTTTCGGCAAAACATTACTTTCAGTACAATAGAAGCAACAGGTATTTTCCCTGTTGATTATCATCATTTCTCAGTTGTTGCTAAACACTGACGAGTCTCTTTTATTTAACAATCCAACATTTTATTTAACCAGGCGCTCATTATCAAACATCACTACATCAAATTTAAAAGGCTGTGCAGCCACTCAGTTCAACACAATAAGGCCTGTGCACTGTAACAGTATTAAAACATACAACGCTACCGTTTCATGATAACAGAGCAGGCAAAAACAAGATGTATATTTATCATGACAACACACTATTAATTAATCAATATATTGCTAATTATCAAGAAGGGTATTAAATTTGAACTTTGCCTGATTCTATCAGGTGCATAAACATGGAGACAAGACAAACAATAAGCCACTACCAATCTATTAAAATTCAGCTTGATAGTGAGGCCTAGAGGACGCAAGCAAAAGCTATGAACAAACATGGTGATTTCATTTTATTTGTATCGGTCCTTTAGGCCGCGCTCTCAAAGCTGAATTTTAACATATCCGACAAGTGGTCTATTAGTTCCGTTGTCCACTCAACAATAACTTGAATTAGTAACAGTACTTGGACTGAGTGAAGTACAATTCAGGGAGTAATCGCGGGAGTACATGTCATTTCAAAATTGGATGAGCGCAAAATGCGAGGCCGCGTTCAAAATATGAGCACGATTACTCCTTGACTAATTGTATGCCACGAAGTCCAATTACTAGTTAATCGTATCTATAACAAATTTCGAAATTATAAATTTCTTGCGAGAACTTCTTTAAAATAGTCTGTAGCATTTTTCATAAGTCATGAGAAATCTAGGAAATACTGCGACGGAAGCCATTAGAGCGCGCGTAATTGACGTGCAAATCACGTGGGTATCCCATTACAGGCACCCAATTACGAAAAGTTCAAATTAGATACCTGTTATTGGATACCCACGTGATTACGCGCCGATTACATGACAAATAAGCGCGCAGAGAGCTAATCAAGATCAATGATATTGTTATAGATACCATTAGTTAGTATAAATCGTATGAGAAACGTGTACTTAATCTCCAGCAAATCTCAGGACGCTTGATATAATTCTTTTACGAACGCAAACAATGCTGTAACACTTTTACTCCGAAGGAAAAATTTAACAATGCATTACAACGAAACTAACTCCCCAGAGGTGGGTACTCGGTTGAAGTTAAAGCTGTACAAGAGCACAGGATATATATCTAAATATATAGAAAATCTTGAGATAAAAAAGAGATCTTAAATACAAAATCTAACACTAACAATTTGATTGTAATCAACAAACAACTCTCATGTTGAGCTGTCTTAGGCGCTCTTAAAACGCATTTGTCTTATTTCACGCGATTAATAGTTGGTATGTTAATTTCCGCAATACAAAACAAGAGGTGATTTAGCATGTAAAATGCAGATCTAACACCTATGTTAAGACTGCAATAAACTGTGAAGTTTTTGAAAACAACTCTGATATTAGTTAAGTTGTTAAGACCGTCTATGACAGTCCAACATTAGTGTTGAGTTGCCTTAGACGCTCTTGAAACGTCTTTCGTATTTACACGATTCATTATTGTGTCTGAGGATGCTTTTTGTACTTGTCCCTATCCTCCATTATTGTTCTGAAAAATTTCTTTCTTCCTGGATCTTGAGATGGGTACAGATATCGTTATCGATGCTTTAAACATAGCTCTCAATATGTCAAGATCCGAAGATGAAAGACTGCAATAAACTGAGAAGTTTTTGAAAATAACTCTAATTAGAGAGCGTCTAAGACAACTCAACATTAATGTTGAGTTGTCTTAGGCGCTCTTAAAACACGCCTTTCGTATTTCACAGGATTAATTATTCCGGGCTGTCCAAGTAAGCTTTTTGCAATAGTCCCTTTCCTCCATTTTCGTTCTGAGGAATTTCTTTGACCTTGGGTCTTGAGATAAGTACGGATGTCGTTATCAACACTTTAAACATAGTTAACAATTATTCACCGAAGTGGAGGTGAATAGTGAGGGATATTTACCGAACCACGAAGCGGCAAGGCCGGTGAATATCCATCACTTTCACCGACACTAAGGTGAATAATTGTTTTAGTATATACCACACAAGCTGAAAAATTAGCGGACCAAAACGTTATTTTATGTGTGACAAACGGTCAGAAAATAAAAATCTCTCGCGCCGGTTGCTCGGAGGTGAATAGTGCTGGCTAATCACGTCCGAGTTAACCAATCAGAGCGCGCGAAAAGCACTATTTACTTGTGTGGTATATGCTAACTGTCAATATGTCAATATTGGAAGATGAAAGACTGCAATTAATTCTTACGTCATGGACAAAGCGATTTAACTTTAATGGGTGACAAAAACGAGCCAAAACTTTGAGACAACGACAAAAAATGTACACATACTACTTGAGGCGAGCATTTCGGCAAAAGAAGTTAGACTGCAAATTATAATCGAGCAATTTCACCGTGCAGCAACGAAGGATGATTCCAGGAAAAACAAAAAAGATACTGCTCGAACTGATGATTTATATAAGCGATCGCATATCCCTTACTTTGGAAACGTTGTTCCCTGCATTAAAAACTCATTTTATATCTGTAAAGTATTATACATTGAAAACAACTTACTTCAATTCACGTCGTAAACCTTGCACGTCAATCCAGTTCCTGCCTCGTGGCATTCACTGACTAGTACTGCATGATAAACGTCACGCAAACGTCACGCCGAAGACGTCAATGCACTACACAGAAGTCCCACAGATCATAACTTTCTCTGCGGCATTTAGTTGAGTTCGTTGTAGTCTTGTTAATTTACACCTACTGTAAAAGCTCCATTAATCCCCCGGGGCTTAGTTAATAATGGGGAACTTATTAGAGAGGAGGGCGCAATAGAGAGAAGGAGGGGTTTATTTCAAATCTTAAACATACCGTTTTTGTGCCAGGTAGGTTTTTTTTTCCAAAGCTCAAACAACTGTAGTCTAAATTTATTACGTAATAACGAGTAGCAAACAGTGGTATGTGTTTGAGTGTATATTTCTGTAATAACAAACCAAATGGCTGCAGAAAAAAAAAATGGCGAGGGACATGTTAGATAGGGGCGCTTATTATAAAAGCCTACTTCCAAACAGCGGACTTATTAAAGAAGCGGGGTTAAACAGAGGGGGCTTTGCTAGAGCTTTTTTTACGGTATTGCACTATCTCAGGAGAGGAAAGTAAACCACATCGGTCGTTTATAATACGCGTTCTTTTTCTTTTTCAAAGCCCAATTACAAAATATAGTCTAGACAGAGTTGAACAAAACCATCGTCTCTATAGCTGAGTTTAAGTTATCTGAACAAGAACATTCTGTTATCACTTACTATGATTCAAAATAAAACGTGTATAGCAACCTTAAGACTAGGGCTATCACGATAAACAGATGATAGATTGTCGAGTGAGGCCAGCCTTTATTTACACAATTGTTTGACACATTTAGTAGCAGCGCGTTTAGGAGCGCGCCAATATCCTTACTAGTTTGGTCAGTGTTTTACAGTTATTCATCTGATTCATAACTCACGAGACTGAGATTTAAGCTGGCACCTTTTGTAGATTTCCTTTAAAAATATATACTTGTCTGCTGGGGATGTGTAGGTCTTAGATTCATCGATCTTTGCGGAGTTGACAAAGCGACATGTTAAATATAGTGTGTGGGTCAGTTCGAAAATTAAGGAGTGCGCCAAGGTTAATTCATGATCTTCAATTTATTTTTCACAATTATAACAACACTTTCCCCTAAAACAATATTACTGTAATCATCAGGCGACACAATGAGGCCTGAAGTGGAATTTTTCAGTCACCTGTCCATATACCTCTATATGCAAAGCACATCGAGTTTATAAACCACCTTTTTTCGGTACTGGTTCCTTTTTGTTGTAACCAACAAATCTGAAAATTAAACCACCCGTTGCTATTGCAGTATTGTACAGTTAGATAGTATCATTTATTCCTGCCTCTCCAAAAATTGCGGTGAAATGATCATTTGTATCATCTAGCAAATAGGGAACTTTAGTGACTTTTGCCATTTTCTGACATTGGTTCCTTCAAATCTTCATAAAAAAATAACGGATGGTGATTCTGTTGTCAAATTTGCTTTGTTATATTGCCAAATGATTGCTTTAATTGCTGTATGATTTTGAGTTCAATCAATGAAAATTAAATAGCGATTTTTATTGTCCGAACTTAGGAAACGAAAAAAGGGCATATTTCGAATTCTGAAACCTTTCATCGACATGAAAAGTCAAACACATACACGGCAGATTTTTAAAGCCGCAGATATCTCAGATTTAAAAGGTTGTGGTGATCGAGAGAATTGAGTGGCGCATAAATGGTAAGTCAATAGCTCCCTCTTGACCAACAAATTGGATTTAAAGCTTTTGAATTGGCTGATACCACGGCATAGGGCACTTTCGTGCCCTCTTAAGCACAAATAGTGATCTGTTTAAGTCAGGATTAGATGGTATTGGCGAACCTCTCGCATGCAGAAAGGTTAGATCATGACGCTTTGTTAGATGGCTTGTCAAAAGTTACCACACAAAAAGGCTTGATCTATCATCAAAAGAGGGAAACGTCAGAAAAGTGCCCTAATATTCTTCTAGAGAGAGAGAGAGAGAGAGAGAGAGAGAGACGGGTAGGAGAGAGTACCTGAGAACGAGGTTGTTTTGTCCTTTGTGCTAAACAATAAAATAAAATTGAGGGTGTTGGGGTGTTGGTGTTTCTTAGTACGAGAAAGAACAAGTGAGTGCGATAACTGCGATGGCACAACAACATTTGTGAGGTCTTGCATCAGCATGCTGAGCAGAGTTTTGCCGGTTCATGGAAGGCAAAGACATAACAACTGGACACGACAAAATAGAGCAAGTCATTTTTTTTTACTCTTTAGGAAAGTCATTTCGCCATTTCGCTATTTCGTCACTTCGTCATTTCGTGTTTTAAACACGCCCGTGTTAATGAAACACAATCAAAATATGATTGCCGCGATTTATCATCAACTTGGCGTATGGATCAATTACTTTTATGGCCATTCTTGACTTTTTCGTCAGTCGCTAAAATATATAAGTATGTTAAGAGTAACATGGACGGAACATAAAACCAATGAAGAAGTTTTAAAGATGGCAAATACAACAAGGTCATTATTACCAATGATAAAGAAAATAAAATGCCAGTATTTTGAGCGAGGTCGATCAGGCCAAACATCTGGTCCGGTAGCCTCAGTTAAAGACTTAGGCATTACACTGGACTCATACCTCAATTTTAATGATAATGTATACACGTTCACATCGTCTCTTCTGTCCATGTTATGTCAGATTGGTAGGGTGAGGCACCTGTTTACTAAACCTGTCTTGTCAACTATTTTGAATTCTCTTATTTTTAGTAAACTTTTTTACTGTTCCACTGTCTGGGCAGGCACCGCTAAACAAAATCTACAGAAGTTACAATTAGTGCAAAACTTCGCCGCCCGCGTATTGACAGATACTGAAAAGTTTGATCACATCTCGCCTGTTCTTCGGGAATTAGGGTGGCCCTCCATCAAAGATCAGCTATTAGTCCGTGATACTACGCAAGTATACAAAATTGTTAGTAGCGTCGCTCCGTTTTACTTGAGTAGTAAACTCAGTAAGCGACCAGACCCACACAACTACAACACGAGGAAAAGGAACAGTCTAAATATCCCTCTATGCAGAACAGTTACTGCGCATCGGTCATTATTTTTACTATCGTGCTGTAAGTGCCTGGAACTCTCTGACCGCAGACACTAGAAACAGCCCGTCACTATGTTAAGAGGAGCGTCAAACGCGAATTGCGGGAGCAGACCCCATACGTTAGATAGTTAATATTTGATTTAGTTTGGATCTCTAAAAAGATAACGTAATTATACGCGCATAGTTTAGGCTTTTAGTTTTGTACCAAGATTGTAATCAATTTACGCTTTTTCTTCTTATCCCCTTCTTTTTTGGCTTTTGTAAATTCACTTCAGAATAGCCCTTTGGGAGAGTTAATAAAATTTTTTGTATTTTATTGTATCGTATGATATAACAGGAATCAAGTTCAAACCAAACTCCTCTGCTCCCTTACACAGTGTCATCCCTAATTGTCTGTCTGTGATGATTTATACACAGGGTTGAGAGGATTGGGTGACACCCAGTATCCATCTTAAAAGTTAAGTTGACGTATTTTCCTCCCTTTCAGGAACTGGAACACTAACAGTAACAAATCCAATATGGGTTATCAAGACTCGCCTCTGTCTTCAGTACACTGGTTTACCAGCTGCCGTTACTCAAGCACCGCAATACAAAGGGATGATTGGTAAGAAAGAAGGAAACTTGGCCAACTTAACTTTCGCAAAGGCTTATGGGACTGTTACTAGGGACTGGGAAACAAATTGGCCAATAGCTGACCGGCACGTCACCAGTAACAATCCCAGAAACAATTGCGGGACGCATTTCGGTTCCAGTTCTCTGGTCGTTTCTAAAGTGGTGAATGGGCAAACCGGTCGGTTCACGAGTTGGGTGAATGGTTTGAAAAATTGAGGCCTAGTAAATTTCATTCCGGAATAGGGTTTACTATTTGTTTTACAAATCAGTTCCACTTACCGAAAACAGCCGCGAAGGCCTGAAACTGGTATCAAAGATAAGTTTTAACAAATGGAGCACGAATCTCTGTTTGGGTAGATTGCGAGCAGTCTCTTATTTTTCTTTGCAAAGTTTATTGTAATAATAACGTCGTGGTTTGCAATCGCGCTGGATGAGATAAGAACTAGACGGATTTTAGGAGAAAGGTGGACTGCAAGCAGTCTACTGTTTGGAATATTTCGTCCGGACAAACAAGGCCACCTTTTCAGATGTTCCGTTGGTCCCGGGAATTTTCCAATAAAGGGACATGGAAAGCCGTTTTCCATTTACTTGTTGTAGTGGTAAAAGAACGAGTTCCTCCTATTACAGTTATTTGTCTGACACAATGTCTGTGTGACCTTGATTTAGAGAGGCGTAGATCATACATGTATTTGTGTTTATTATAAAATCATTTTCCTAATTCTTACTTTTTAGATACCCTTTTTAAACTTTGGAGACACGAGGGACTCCGAGGATTATACAAAGTAAGTTTGCCATGCTATGTAATGGCGGAAAAAGCAATAACTCTGCACAATTTCTTGAACATTTCTTTGCCGTTACCGCACGACTACGAGGTAAAAATTGCATAATTTCACGTTTTGTGGGGGCCGTAAACGAGCGACGACGAATTTTGTTTCCTGTTTCCTATCTTAAATTCATGCGGTCGTCGTTGCTAAAGCTTCTGATGTTTGGTTCTAGTTTTCCAAGCGTCGGATAGCGCTATCCACCAGATAAATCATTATCCAGTAAATGAGTGTGAGGAAAACTAATTCCGCTTCTAGTAGGTAAGGATTTTTCTGGTGGATAGCGTTACCAACCTTAGGAAAGAAACTGGGGCCTGGTGGATAGCGTTGTCGACCTTTTGAGCAACTAGAGCCTGATTCAGTGCAAATGGTGCAATTTACAAAATTAACCCACTTGAAATGTTTAACCGCGATGGAATATCAGCTACATATACTCTGTATTTTGTTCAATAGGGTTACGTCCCCGGACTGTTTGGTGTGTCACATGGTGCTCTCCAGTTCATGGCTTATGAAGAACTTAAGAAAGGCTACAGCCATTACTTCGGTACACCAATCAATAAAAAATTGGTAAGTTAACAAGTCAGTCTTAAATGGTTGTTCACCGACATTGATCATAAGTTAAGTTTCGTTCACAAGCAAGGTTGCACACTTGTCAGTACAGAAACTATAGATTTCATTATCACTAGCCTGTTCCAGACTCCGAGATGGTGGTGGAAAGTCGTTCAGTAATAAGAAATGCGAAAAACGCGCGGGGGCTGGGGAGAGACAGGGCGGCGGAGCCTGTACGCATTTTTTTAACGGCCTGTTCCGGTATATCAGCTCCTGATATACCCTCTGATTGGTCAATTGTGACAGTTAACATCATCACCTAGTAGCGTGGTCATCAGTTTGTCATCACCAAGATGGCTAACGCGAATCGCGTGTGTGATCTTCATGAATCCGCGTTGTCTTATGCTGTAGCTCGCGGTAAAGATGTTTTCAGTATTATGCCCACCGGTTTCGGCAAAAGTTTAATCTTTCAGCTATTCCCACGCTTGGCTAAAGCTGCTCTAATCCTAGAAAACTCTACGATAATAGTCATTTCGCCGCTGATATCTATAATGCGAGACCAAATGGAACAACTGAAAAAGCTTGGATTTTCAGCCGCAGCTATTTGGCATCGGTAAAGAGGGAGAGGAGGACGAGAAGAAAGCGAGAGAAGGAAAGTGCGAAATTGTTTTCGGTAATCTGGAGTCCTGGTTGATCACAGAGTGGCAATAACAAAACAGTCCAAAGACTGTTAAGCTTATTCCGCTATTACCAAGGCAGAAACTACGCCGCGCTCCAATCGAAAGACTCACGCTATTTTAAGAGGAACACTATTAAGCTGGAGTTTACGAAGTCACAATGCAATTCTCCTTAGTTGATGTAGCTTAAGTTTAAGCTGCACTTCATTCTTATAATTCTGGATCTGTAAATCACCATCCGTGATAATTTAACATTCTGCAAAGAAAACTAACGAGCTGGGCCCAGCGTGATACAACATTGCAGAAAAATATTACATTAATTCACGGACTAAAGAAAATCACTTAGTTAGTCAGATCCAGAAGGCATTTTGGAGAAAATTAAAACCCTTATTCAGTCGCAATAAAAAGCTTTACGCTTCAAATTAGAGGTCAAAGAAAATGCTATCTCATCAGAGGGCAAATCCTGCCGACCAGAAACAAACGCCACAGTAAATCGATATGTGTGCCATGACCTCTCAGTGTGAAACAAGCGGCTAAAGTCACATTTGCTCAGTGACAATGTAGAACCTTCCAGAGCATAACCTACCCAACAGAGGAAAAAACTTACCGCCCCCTTTTATTGCTATAAACTAGAGCCAAAAAAAACGGATGCTCTCACAGGATAACGAATTCCAAGACATAAATTTCCACACATTGCACAAGGAGTTCGCGTCGCGTGCAATTCTCACGCGAGAAACTAGAGAATGATTGTAGCTAACTGAAGTGTTAACAGTTTTGACAGCCGAATCCAGACGTGACAGAAATGGGCGGAAGAGGGTCGTTAAAGAAATGCTAGCCTGTGAACAGGCTCTCTGTCTGGGGAAAAAATAGCGACCAAAGGCCTGTTCACAGGCTAAAGAAATGCTAACAGGCTCTCTTTCTCTCCCATTTTCCCGCCGCCACCGCCCCCTTTCCCAAGTCGTGCTCGTCTTATTTTCGCTTTGCTCGTTTTAATACGTTCCCACTATACTATCTGAGAGCCTGGCACAGGCTAATTATCACAACAGGATGTGATCGTATAATTACTTAGCATACTGTTTTTGCATTCTCTGCTTGAGTGGGTATTTCTGTTTGTTGCTGCTCATTTTAAGAATGTGAAGATCTAGCAGTTTGCTAAGAAAAGTGATACCGACCTAATATAAGCTATATACTGCTAAATTGCACGGCTTAGATTGTAAAGAGTATGGCTGTTGACCCCTTGTTGGAGTGAAACAGAGTAAGCTTGTCCTTTCTGAAACAATGGTCTTTAACATGGTGTGTTTCTTTCTATCACTCGTCTCTTGAAAGCTGACTTAAGGGAGGGCAAATTACGTTTTTTGGTCTAAGGCAGGGTTAAGCTTTCAGGAAGCATGCTGCACACTCCCACCGTAATTTTCAAAAGTACCCCCTCCCCCGCTGGACCAGTACCTTTGTTTTCCGTGAAAGGCGCATCATCACGAGAAAAATTATGGAGGTTCACTCGCTGATGTATATGATACATGTAAGCTTTGAACACCAAGAACATGATTTCGTAGAAATTCATTCTCCACCTACAGCTGTAAGGCACGGACAAACCACAATCAATGATTTCTCATTGATTTTCCTTAAATATCACTGCTAATTAATTTCAAAACATTGGTCCCCTCTTTACCGACCAGTCAACTTAAAGGATTCCGAAATATTGACTCTGGCATGCCTGGATAGGCTACTAGCAGTCTCTCTCTGGCCAGAATTAATGGAGCCGTTCACTTATAGTAACAGGTCATTGAATAATAAGAATACTCTTAAAGCGCTTCTTCAAGGTGTGAGCAAACCATAGTCAATGGTTTTTGAGCCCTGTCAAACTAGAAACATCAGCCCAGCCTTTTGAAATTCTCCTTCCATGTTGACCTATCTTTAGCTTAAGACACACCTGTTAGGGAACTTTGTGTTTATACGAGAAGGTGGGCTATCTTGCTTGCTGAGATCTCGACTCGAGCAACCGGGATTTCGGCCTCGTCCTCTCATATGTATTTAGCTTAACAGTTAGCTAATTGGGGGCACTTTCCTACGTGCTGGCACACTAACCTATTGAATGACTTTTAAATTATTGATCTTACCTAAAATCTCAAACTATATACAAATGTCCACGACTCAAAATTTACACAGGTCACAGCAGGAACTTCTCCGGAATAGATGTAGCAAGTAGAAAGTTGTTTTTATACCAAGACGAAGCTAAAACAGACCCTTAGTAGGTATCGTTTCTTCCTCCTTCTAGAGTTCAACAGAGTACTTGATAATGGCATCATTATCAAAGATCTTCGCTGCCACAGCCACTTATCCGTATCAAGTAGTCAGATCAAGACTACAGGTAAACAGACCTCCTACTTATCTCTCAGTGTAAGGTTATGTCCACAAGATTAGTTCCAACAGGCACTTTTCCGCTAGTGATTCACGTGGTACAAAACCGCAATGCTGGAGAGTAAGGGACACACTGAGACAAGACAAACAAAAGGCTCACTAGACTTTCTCGGCCCAGTTTCCGATATCTGCTTGTTCGGTGGTCGGTTGGCGCTCGTCTTGCGATTTCTCTTTCGCTCGCTTTGCGCAGTGGACTTGTGGCAAGTGTAAATGTTCACATCATTTAACATCGTAATTCCCTTTATCTTCTCCCGGTACGATTCTTGCTCTCAAGCATTACGTTTTTTTTGTACCACGTGAATGGCTAGCTGCAAAGGGCCAATTAAGTTTATGAACGCATACAAATTTACAGCTGTTTTTCCCTAGCGACGGAGTCTGGGTTGAATTCGTAAGAGCAGTCGTTAAAACGCTTACAACCCATCAAAACTCGGAGTCGTAAGCAGAGTCAAAAGAGCGAGGTAGTTGTAATCAGGAAGTTACCTTTTTGTTCCGACTCTACCCACTATGATAGCACCATGCCCAGCCACCTTTTGTATCCTACTCTTCCCAAAACAAAAGAAAGCTCTGTGCGTCTCCGAGTTCCAAGCAGCCAACTCCCTAGAGGTTACTACCCAGCGCTTTAAATGTTGATTTTGTATACAGAATTTAAAGTTTTGTACTCTTTTGGCTTTTTAATTGGTTTTTTTTTTGTGTTTTGTAGAATCAATACACGATGGCCGAATACAATGGAGCAGTGGACGTTATCCGTAAAACTTTCAGGTGAGATGAGGGACTCGCTTCGTCGATTTTCTTTTTTTTTTGGACGCAGTTTTTGAAAGCGAAATTTTCCAGCGCTCCAAGATTTATACCTTAAAAAGTCGCCTTCTGACATTAGCTTTGTTGTCGACTTCTAGATACGAAGGAGTGAGGGGATTTTATAAAGGATTGGTTTCTAATGTTCTCAGGTGAGATCCCCAACAAAAGAGCCCCTAGGTCTTACCCGTCTGGATGACAGTGAGTAATTGGCAGGCCCTAGTTATTCAAAAGGTAGATAACGCTATCCACTGCATAAATCACTATCCAGCGGATAACGCAGTTGGTATCCATAAAACGTATCCACTGGATAGTGATTTCTCCGGTGGATTGCGCTATAGAACATTTAATCAACCGCGGCCAGAACTGTAATGTAGATGTCGCGGATAAAAGGACAACAGCACTTGTCCCCTTTAACAGTAAGCTTAGACTGTTCGCAGTCCCCTATTTTTTCGTGAGATCTTTTAGATATACCGCGTCTTACCGTCACGGGTATCTTGATTTTCAAATGTACCGAGTGGGCGAGCGTCGGGGACTATAGCTCGGGGGGGGGGGGGGGAGGTGGCGGGGCGAGAAAAATAGAGGGACTGTAATAACATCACCACAGCTCGTGTTCACGGACCGCGTTGTACCAGCAACGCAGGCATTTGATTGGTCATTAGACAATAGATGTTAATTTGCGTTGACAACGGGTTTAGTTTAAGTTGCCTAAATTGACGAGTCGTTGACAAGTCGACTTTTCAATAAAACGTACGCTTTCATACCATAAGGCACATCTTGCGCTAACACACGAAGGATTTTTGGCATTTTGATTAGGAAAATGTTTTCTTGTGCATGTTTGCCGATTTTATTTCGAGGAATGGCCCAGAAACATTATAAAATCATGGTTTCGAAAAGAGATATTTGTAAACACGCGTAATCGATGCTAAATGTGTCTGGCATGTTTTTCATCACCAGCGGAGTTTCTTAATTACTAAATGGTAAAAGGCGTGAAATTCCTGTCACGCCTCCTGAACGCGAGCTGCAGTGATGTTATTACAGTCCCTCTATTTTTCTCGCTTCCTCCCAGCCGCCCCCCGCCCCCTAAGTAGTTTTGACACTCATGCAAGTTGGCAGCCCGTAACAGAAAGCGCTCAATCTCGATGATCTTACGGAAAAATAGAGGACTGTGAACAGTCTATCTTTAACAGTAAGCTCGGTCTTCACACGTGAAAGATCAGTGCAGTTGTTAACGCAACTGTGCGTGAAAAAGCCAAAAACAAACAAACAAACCAACAAACCCGGAAGGTAACGTACGGGGACGTCACTGGCTGCCACTATTGGTGTATTCATGAACTTATTGTTATCCTCCCACCCCGTGCTATGTATGATTAGTGAAACAAAAGAGGCGGTAGACCACACCACCTGGGAAACATTTCCGATTCTTTTTCAACAATAGTGGCAGTTGGTTGTTTTACAACACTGTGCGAAAGTAATGATATCAAATTTCTCCGAATTCCGTCAATATTCACTAATTTCGAGAGGGAATATCGCTAAAATTTCGGTGCATCTATTGTCGGCGAAATTTCGCGCAATGAGACGAAATGGGACGAAAATTTGGCTCAAAACGAAGGTTCAGTACTGTTCGTCCACTTTTGATGAACTATTAATGAGAGGAAGGATGAAGGAAGTAAGGCCAAAGGCTTAGAAATAATGATAAGAATTTAAGAATTTATAACGCGCAGATGTCTATGTGACTATAATCAAATCCGCGATATTATGATTGCCTTTTCCAATTTTTAACGCCAGTTCCCGATCGTCTGTCTGGCCTGAGGCAAGGTCTTAAACAGACAGCAGAGTGGCATTTTCTTTTGATAATGAACTCTGTGACCGGCCGGGATTTATACCCGGTCCTCCCACATGCCGCATACCAACTGCTTTATTTGGCTGAAATAAGGCTCATACGAGAAACAGACAAACCAAACGACACACAAAAATAGGCACGGAAAGTTTAAATGATAATAGGAAATGATAACTGTAGTTTGACCTGTTTATATAATGGTCATCCTCGCCCGGTATGTAAGAGACTTGCCGCCTAATGAAGGTGGTCGCTCAATAAAATATCACAAAAACTACCCGCTGAGTGTGGCCGTCGAAACGCAATTAACTGATAGTCTTCATAGAAGAACACTTCATTCAATTCTTCATTCTATCAAACTATAATGCGGCTGAATCAACGTCCTTTCAGGCGAACTATACCAGGGGCGACCCTGATCTGTATTGATCTTTTACTTTCTATTCTTTTAACAAAGTTGCTAACTTGTAAACGTAACAGGGAAATAAACTTACCATTATCATACAGCACTATCCGTTATCCTGCCTGCCAACCAGACAGTGTTTGCGAGCCCCGACGCTCACACCGAAATTTCTCATTCCTTCATTACTTTCTTACATTTACGAGTGGTCGCTAGTTAACACAGGCAAAAATAACAAGAAAGGCAAAACATGGGCTGCAAAGGGGTGATTGAGGTCGCTTTATAAAGGTGACCACTTGTTAAAGATGACGATTACAATGTTTGTACTGTATGCAGGGAAGTTCGGAGCTTTGAGAACAACTCGCTAATACAGTTAAAACGAACAACTAGACAAAACGTACAGGAAAGGCACATGAAAAAACAAACAAACATATTAAAAGGCACGAGACAAACGTTGTTTGTGATTACGTTTGTTTGTTTTTGTTTTTACAGAGTGACTCCAGCGTGTGCTCTGACATTCGTGGTATACGAAAACGTCATCCATTTTCTTATGCTGTCCAGCTAACTTGAATAGACCAATGACTGATACATTCTGCTGCTTGACACGTCTCTTACCCATTTACACTCTCAGCAATATTTTTTAAGGTGGAACTGGGTTTCCTGTGTTTATATTGAAAGAATTTCAAACGTGTGGCGTTTCTTCAACAACAGACGTAGCACAGCTTGATGCATGTATATTAGAGAATATAACGACTAAGCCAAGGCTACTCCACTTCTGTGCCGCCCTCCCATCCCCCAACGAGCTCCGCGAGGTTCTGCCAAACACGTATCTCTAGTTCTTCTCCTGTAACGCCTGCATGCCGTGGCGAACATGCGGGCACGCGCCCTTGCAAAACAGAAGATCTATATATTTGTTGTAAGTTTTATAGTAATATAGCAAACTAAGGACTCTTCCACACCAATTTGCTCTGATAAAACCTTAGCTTTCCTTGACTTTCGCTGGGAAAAACCCATCAAGAGTTCTGTGTCTATAATTGCCTTTTAGGGCATTCTTGGACCTGCATTTCGTTGCGAGCAAGCTCTTCCGGGGATGCGTTAGTGGGGGAGGGAGAGCTTACACTGACGTCTCAAAAAAGTGGAATTCCGTAAGAACCCCCCTATGACTCCTCTGGTGTTGAGCTTTCAAAAACTGACTAATCAGATCTTCCCCTTTTCCCTCCCACACCCCCCGGGACAGCTTGCTCGCGGGCTACCCTGCATACAAAGCTTTCGTCTATCCCGCCTATAAAGCTTTCCTCTATCCCATCTGTAAAGGTGTCACAAGCTCTAACGTCAGCGTTTTTGAGAACCCTCTTATTTACCCATCCACTCTAAAACGATTAACTTTTGTTTTTTAAAAGACTCCTTTTTCGATAGCGTTTCCTAAGCCTTCGTTTGATCGCTTCAGTGTGAACGCAAGGCCAAAACGCGTAAAGATATAGATCTACCTTGTCAAACGAAAACTCATTAAAGTGGAACCTTGATTTAACGAAGGGCCAAGGGACTGACAAAATTTCTTCGTTAGTATTCTACTCTCATCTCGAGGACTTCGTTTTGTAGTAGTTCGTTAAATTGAGGTTCCACTGTATTATGCATAGGGTCTGTAAGACGAACTGAAAGATATAGAAATTACAGTTGAAAGTTGCAGCACGGTCGTTGCTTTAAAAGTATGTCGATGTTCGCCAATAAAAGACGGTGACATTACTATGGAATTTTATCTCAAGTAGAATAAAATAAAGTTATCAGTTGAATATTTATATATAATTATATACAAAACTAGGGTTATCGTTTTTGTAAGCAGTTTTCCTAAGCCAACCGCGCGACTCCAGCGAAAGAAAAAGGAAACAAGTCGTCTTGCACTTGATCCGTCATTCTGCGTTCCTACCTTGACTACAAGTAACGTAAATGTTAGGGTCTTAGGAAAGGCACGGTTTTAGGCTTATATGGTTTAGGGGTATAGCTTCCTGTTCGGTAATACGTACGTGCGTTCCCGCAAATGGTCGAAAATTCATAAATACCTAAGTCAAAATAGGAAAATATAAGGACTAAAAATATTAAACAAAAAGGAAAAAAAGGAAAAGTTGCTAAAAAAAGGCGCAAACGCCTACTTAACGCTGCTTTACCTTTGAATTCCTTAGGAAGCCTTTCCGCGATCGCACTCAAAGCTTTCTGATACGAATGAACGCATGGATTGCTTGCCATCTCGCTAAGTGATAACACGCAACAGTTCTAAAAGGGCGTATTCGTCTGAGAAAAATCAATGCAAAGTCTACAAAAATTTAAAAATATAATGATACCTGCCTTGAAACGCGGCGAGGATGATGTCGGCAGTTATCTTCAGAAACACACTGCAAAGTCCCTTTTTCACTTACAAAAAATTAGGTTCCTACTCTAAACGAATACAGCCATCGCTTTCATTTGTTTTTCACTACGACACTTCGTCCCCCTAAATCTTTGGACAGACTGAGCAGTTAAACGACTGTTTAACTGTGACAATAGACGGATCGAAATGCACCGATGACATTGCGAGTCTTCATAGCCAATAACATCACGGCTTAACTGACCTATGACCAATAAAATCAAGACTTAATTGACCAATCAGGTCAATATCCCGAGTTTAATACCTACAACTGACGTGATACAACTCACTTTGACTCTGAAGATGACTACCGCACAGGTTGTCGAAACCTCTGTCACTGTCAACAACAACAACAGTCCTATTCAGGACTTCGTTCGCCCGGACGATCATCCATGTACTCAACCTTTAACTTATAAAATGACTCCTGGGTCATGATACGATAAAGAAATGATGTATCTGGCCGTGATGCTTCAACTTTGAATAATCAATATGACATGCAAAGGGCGCAACCCAAGCGACCCAAAGAATCCCCCTCGCAATTTTCTTAATCCATTTTTCTCTTTATTTGCGCTAGACATTATATATTTTACATTTTTTTCCTATAATAGTGTGCGCACAAACGTGCCTTAAATAGTACTCGTAATCGATAGTAAAGGTGCCAGACTTTATGAGTGTTTTAAGTAAATTACAGTATAGTTACCACAGTGCAATATAGTCAATTTTACTTTATATTCACTTCGCTATCGCCCTTAAACATTTTGAAGTTTTATATAGCTGGAAATTTGTTTCTGGTCACATCGCATCTAACAATGAAACTGTTTCCCGCCAAAATATCTGAGCGGGCAACGTTGCAAACCTATTACGTCAGAGGTAACAGTGCACTGTAATTCGCAAATGTTGAACGGCGACTGCTGTTACAGCGAGGTTTAAACAATGTCTTCCAGCTTCAACATTTTCAGCCATATAACAGATCACTTAAAGACTGTTCTCTCGCGAAACAGTAAATTTTGCTTTTCTCGGGAACAGTTATTAAGTGTTTAATATTGTTGTATAAGTCACTAGAAGTCACAAACTGTAACAAAAGGTATTGGATGAAGATCAATAACACCGCACATCCGGTAGTAACTCTACTGCCTCGTACGCAGGCTTTTTTCCAGGTTCTGCATAGCGCAGTCCTGGGCCTGAGTGGAGAATAATGGAAACGAGCAATAGCAAGGAGTAATGGGAAGGCAAAACTTTTTTTTTTCTTCCCTTTCCGTTTCCTCCTTTGTCTCGCTTTACTTGATAATCAAATAACTATCGCGAGCGACTGCTATCAAAAATTATAATATTTCTAAACAATTTAAGTTAATTAAGGTGTTTCGATGCAGTTTTCGGGAGACCATACCGATATTTTTCAATCGCCTTAACAGTTATTTAATGTCCTTGTCCTTCACCAGTGATTGACTATGAAATGGAGTTTGTTAAAGTGCAGTTTCAAGTATAATCGATATCACTATGACAACAATTAACAAAAAAGTCTGAAATCTATAAAGGCCGAAGTTTGAGTGATCTAGACCTGCTACTGAAAATCCGACACAAGGAACGTAAGGTTTAGCGTTTAGCGAATAGCCTGCGTGAGAAATAAAACAATTGTGTACGTTTGAATTCAAATAAAAGTTAGTATATTTCAAACCAAATACATTTCAAACCAAACCCTTTAATAACCCTGACATGTTATTGAATTCAAAAGTTCCAAATAACTCAAATTAATCTTAAGTAGAATTCGCTGCTTAGAAACTTTGGTGTATTTTCTTTCTTGCAATCCTGAAAACTAACCTGCTTTCTCGGTGCATTTCAGTGTGAATAAAACTGCATCGATACACATTAAGTGATGAAAATGCAAAATGACATCAGATGAATATCTGATGGCATGAACTAAATACTGTGGCGAGTTATATTGGATAATTATCATAAAAGTACAAAATGTTGGGATAATATAAATGGACTGAATATATCGCAATTAACGTTGCTTACGTATAGGAATTAATAATTGTATTTAAATATGTGCTAAACTATATATCAAAAATCTAGTAACTACACCTAAGTCAATGACAAACGCTAGCAGGGAAAATTCTATCCTGAGATTTGAACTCTTTGCGTTACGTCTGCAAATACAGATGTAGAATGAGAGTTGACAAGAAGGCAATACAAAACCTACCCTCAAAACGTGGGGCAGGAACGCGCGACGAGGCCCCATAAACCATCCTATGCCCCTTATTGAAGAGGCTTGACTATTGCACTTTGTAGGCTTATCTTTTTAATGTAGTGCATCACTTCTTAAAGTGCCCATAAACTAAACATTTTTTTTTTAAATTAGAAGTAGTTATCACTACGAGAGCATTTTTATTTTTTAATTAAAAGTACGCATTACCACGATAGCCTCCCCGAAAAAATAACATGTTTTGCCATATGAGCACAATGTGACTTTTTGAATGTGATCGTTCAAATTTACCGCTATTCTAGCACATCATGAATTTGTTCTGTTATCTTTCGGAAGCCTCCCGGAAACAAAGGAGCTGTGACGTAGATCAAACAAAACTGTGTCGTAAATAACTGAACACTTGAATTTAGATACAAGTAAACAAGTGTAAAGTTCTCACTAGAAAAATTTCTTTCTTCAAACGGAAACTGCTTTCAAAAAGGTAAAACATGCTAGCAGGATGCGTCGCAGGGAGATTTGCAACAACGTTGGCCAAGGCGACTTAAAGAAAGCATGCACTCTTTGGTACAGAGGGTTTCCTTGTATAGTTGTTTCTTTCTTATGATTTATAGAACGGAATTATAGAACAGACCGTTTATTTTTTTTGTTTTTGTTTTCACGTTTGTGAATATTTGTTTAGTTACTCGAGCGATTACAGTGTTGTAATGAGCAGTGCATGCTCCTTTTTAGCCTTGATGAAGTTAATCGGCGACAGTTGTCTGAGCAAGAAAAGTGTCTGGAAACGTGCATTACTAAATCCGGAGCCTTTATCCTAGACAGCCTATTCTGACATCCATGTCCAAAAAAATAAGCCATAGGCAAGCATTAAAAGAACCAATTCTTACTGCAGATTTAGACAATTAAATTTTCAGAATTTGAAGTCTGACGTTGAGCTTTTTTCTATGAAGATTTCTTTTGATAACCT